TCCTTTCCTTTCCTTTCCTTTCCTTTCCTTTCCCTTCCTTTCCTTTCCCTTTCCCTTTCCCTTTCCCTTTCCCTTTCCCTTCCCCTTCCCCTTCCCCTCCTTTCCCTTCCCTTTCCCCAATTCCTGGCGGCGTCACTTGGGATCCCCAGAATTTGGGATCCGGGATTCCTCAGAATTTGGGATCCCCGGGATTTGGGATCCCCTGGAACTTGGGATCCCTGGGATCAGGATTTGGGATCCCCAGAATTTGGGATTCCCCAGGATTTGGGATCCCTGGGATCGGGATATGGGATTCCTGAAATTTGGAATCCCCGGAATTTGGGATCCCTGGGATCAGGGTTTGAGATCCCCAGGATTTGGGATCCCTTGGATTTGAGATCTGGGATCCCCAGAATTTGGGATCCCTGGGATCAGGATTTGGGATCCCCAGAATTTGGGATCCCTGGGATTTGGGACTCAGAATTTGGGATCAGATCCCGGCTCCTCCCCGGCCTCGTTTCCCTTCCTGGGAATTCCCGGAGCTCCCTCGGCCTCATCCCGGGAAATCAAAACTGGAAAAATCCCATCGGGATCAGCTCCCCGTCCCCAAACCCTCGGGAATTCCCGAAGGAAATCCCGAATTTCGGGATGGGATTGAGCGGTGGGGGCTCGGGAAGAGCCAGAATTCCCAAAATTTCCCCCCCAGGACGCGGCTCCGGCTCCTCAAACCCGGGGTTTTTCCAAGGGAAACTGAGGCCGGGAGAGGAGAATCCACGGGGAAAAAAAATAATAAAAAATTAAAATATTAAAAAATAAAAAAAGCTGGAAATGAGAGGAAAAAAAACCCAGGAAAAGCAAATTTTATGGATGTTGGAAAAATTCTTTATTTTGGGGTGAAAAGCGATGGAATTTGGCAAAAACCAGAGGAGGATCCGGGATGGGAAAATCCAGGGGGATCCTGGCACTTCCCAGCTGCTCCAGGGGGAGTTTTGGGTTGAAAAAGGAGATTTTTGGGAAAATCCCAGCCACACGCTGCAGTCAGGAGGAAAATCTCCCTCCCCAGCCCCAATTTCCCCGCTTTTAACCCCAAATCCCTCGGGAAACGGCACCGGGAGAGACAAAAACTGGAATTCATTTTCATCGTCGTCGGAAATTTGGGGCAAAAAGTTTGGGAAAAGGGTCAGAGCCGGAGCTTTGTGTTTTCCAGAGCCCGTAATTAATTGGTTTTGCGTTAATTAATCTCTAACGAGGGTGAGGGGTGATGCCAGGACGGGGAGGATCCCGCGCCCGGATTCCCAAATTCCCTTTTCCCGGGGTGAAATTCCTGCGTGTGCCAAAACACTGGGGGGATTCGCCAAAATTCCAGATGTTTTCACCCCAATTCCAGGAATTTTCTCCCCAGTTCCAAGAGTTTCACCCCAAATCCAGGAGTTGTTTTCACCCCAATTCCAGTTTTCTCCTCAATTCCAGATGTTTTCTCCCCAGTTCCAGATGTTTTCACCCCAATTCCAGGAGTTTTCTCCCCAGTTCCAGGAATTGTTTTCTCCCCAATTCCAGGAGTTTCTCCCCAATTCCAGGAGTTTCACCCCAATTCCAGAAGTTTCTCTCCAGTTCCAGTTGTTTTCTCCCCAATTCCAGATGTTTTCTCCCCAGTTCCAGGAGTTTCTCCCCAGTTCCCGCTCCTGCCTCAGATCCTCACCACCTGGGCGGCCACGCAGGGGCTGCTCCGGGGCTCAGCCCCGGGAACGGCCCCGGAACTATCCCCGGAATTATCCCCGGGATTATCCCCGGATTTATCCCTGGGATTGTCCCCAGGGCTGTTCCCAGGCTCATTCCCGGGATTCTCCCCGGGATTCTCCCCGGGATTCTCCCGGTGCCGCTCTCTCCGCAGCAGCAGCCGCCCGTAGGTGCCCCCGGCCCGGCCCTTGGTCAGACGCCCGGGATTGATGCAGACACAGCCCAGGACGTCCTGCGGGGAACGGGAATCAGGGAATGGGAATGGGGAATCAGGGAATGGGAATCAGGGAATGGGAATCAGGGAATGGGGAATCAGGGGATGGGAATCAGGGAATGGGGAATCAGGGAATGGGAACGGGAATGGGAACGGGAACGGGAATGGGAATCAGGGAATGGGAACGGGAACGGGAATGGGAACCAGGGAATGGGAATCAGGGAATGGGAATCAGGGAACGGGAATGGGAATGGGGAATCAGGGAATGGGAATGGGAATCAGGGAATGGGAATCAGGGAATGGGAACAGGCGTTGAAAATCCACGGATTCAGCGGAACCGGGAGCCCACAGGAACCCAGATCCCAAAATTCGCCATTTCCAGAGGATTTGGGTCCCTCCTGCCCAGCCCCGGATCCCGGCTCTGATCCCAATCCCACCCTAATCCCAATCCCATCCCAATCCCAGTTCCAATCCCAACCCCAGCTCCAATCCCATTCCCAATCCCAATCCCAATCCTGACTCCACCCCAATCCCAGTTCCATTTCCAATCCCAATCCCAATTCCATTCCCACCCCAATCCCAACCTCAGCTCCATTCCCAATCTCATTCCCACCCCAATCCCATTCTCAATCCCATTCCCATTCCTGTTCCCGCCCCATTCCCAATTCCATTCCCAATCCCAACCCTGTTCCCATCCCCATTCCCAATCCCATTCCCATCCCTGTTCCCACCCCATTCCCAATCCCAATCCCATTCCCGTTCCATTCCCAACTCCAATTCCCACCCCATCCCCATCCCAATCCCAATCCCGTCCCCGTCCCCGTCCCCGCTCCCGTGCCCCCGCACCTTGAGGAAGAAGCGCAGCTCCGAGGGCGTCACCAGCACGTCCGGGGTCACGGGCAGCGCCGGCAGCGCCTCCAGGTGAACGTTCAGCTCCTCCGAGGGCGGGAACAGCGGGTAAAAACTGCCGGGAAAAACCGGGTCGGGGCGGGAAACGGGAGCGAAGAGGTGGCTGGGGAGGATTTGGGGAGGGAAGAGGAGATTTGGGGAGGATTTGGGGAGGGAAGAGGAGATTTGGGGAGGATTTGGGGAGGATTTGGGGAGGAAAGAGCTGATTTTGAGGAGGAAAGAGGTGATCTGGGGAGGAAAGAGCAGGATTTGGGGAAAAAAGAGGAGATTTTGGGGAGGATTTGGGGAAAAAAGAGGAGATTTTGGGGAGGAAGAAGCTGATTTTGGGGAGGAAAGAGCAGGATTTGGGGAGGATTTTGGGGAGGAAAGAGGAGATTTTAGGGAGGAAAGAGGAGATTTTGGGGAGGAAAGAGGAGATTTTGGGGAGGAAAGAGGAGATTTTGGGGAGGAAAGAGATGATTTTGGAGAGGAAAGAGATGATTTTGGGGAGGAAAGAGAAGTTTTGGAGAAAAGAACCATTTTTGGGAGGAAAGGGGAGGATTTGGGGAGGAAAGAGCTGATTTTGGGGAGGAAAGAGCTGACTTTGGGGAGGAAAGAGGCATTTTTAGGAGAAAAGCCATTTTTGGGAGGAAAGGGGAGAATATGGGGAGGATTTGGGGAAGAAAGAGGAATTTTGGGTAGGAAAGGGGAGGATTTGGGGAGGAAGGAGCCATTTTTGGGGAGAAAAGAGGCGTTTTTGGGGAGAAAAGAGGAGTTTTGGAGATGAAAGAGCCATTTTTGGGGAGAAAAGAGCCATTTTTGGGAGGAAAGGGGAGGATTTTGGGGAGAAAAAAGGAGGTTTTGGGGAGGAAAGGGGGGGTTTTGGGGAGAAAAAAGGAGTTTTTGGGAGCTCCTCACCAGCGCTGGGTCAGGATGTGCCGCAGGATCCGCGTGAAGCGATCGGAGATCCCCGAGGAGCTGCGGGAGGAAAACGGGTGAGAAAAGGGAGAAAAGGGGAAAAAAGGGAGGGGGAAAAAGGGAAAAATGGGAAAGGAAAACAGGGAGGGAAAGGGGATTTGGGGGGGGGAGGGAAGAGGGAAAAGGCAGAGGAGAAAAGGGGGGAAAAAGAGGGGAAAACACGAAAAAAAGGGAGAAGAGTAAAGAAAGGGAGAGAAAAGTTAAAGAAATGGGGAAAAAGGTTAAAAAAAAGGGGAAAAGTTTAAAGAAATGGGAAAAATGTTGGAAAGAGGCACCTGCTGATCTCCTCAGCCCCCATGTGGAAGAGGAGGTCGGTGGAGGTGAGGCCGAAGACGACGCCGTCGATGTCCAGGGTGCAGGGCTCGGACACCAGGAGCACGCGCTGGACACACGGACACGGGGCTGGAGCCCAGGACAGCCCAAACCTGCCCCAGGACAGCCCAAATCTGCCCCTGGACAGCCCAAACCTGCCCCAGGACAGCCCAAACCTGCCCCAGGACAGCCCAAATCTGCCCCTGGACAGCCCAAATCTGCCCCTGGACAGC